CAACATTATGACATTAGCGATGACTTATGGAAATGTGGAGTAAATATTAGGCTGTAGACTTGAGTAAAGGGTAGGTAGGAAGTGAAGCAAATGAAGTGAAGAAGCTATATTAGATAGATTGATTCGGTAGCCAAGTAGATAGGTAAAGGTTATGGTAGAGGCAGATAGATAAGTAGATAGATGGGAAGCAAGTAAATAGAAAATATGACGGAATTTAGATGAATAAGGATGAGTAGGTAAGTAGTAATTTAGGTAATATGACAGAATTACTCATAGAAAAGTCACAGTTATCAAATTTTAATTCGAAAACACGTATATACAAATTCTTGGAGAAAAACAATGATGAGAATGGTGAAAATCAAAAACATTTCATCAAGAAGGAAAGATGGTAAATCTCGTGTAACAAAATGTCAAGCTATGAGAAAAAATTTTTTTAATCTACGTGCCAAAAATCGGCTAATGCAATATAGCCAACATCTGGGGATCCCTGTATCTCATGGTCATCTGAACCATTACCGCACATTACATTGTGAACATTGTAAACATTGTAATGACATTATGGAAGCATTGTAATGACATTGTGGTAAACATTGTTATGACATAACCGAATTACCGAGAAAATAAATTAGCGCTTTTACGCGTTTCTAAAAAGAAAAAAAAATGGTTTGTATTTCTTCCGGAATATTCTATGCTTCTTATCTTTCTTATACTTCTACTTTTTATATTTCTTATCTTTCTTATACTTCTACTTTTTATATTTTATCTTATTTCTTATATTTTTATATATTTCTTTTATTTCTTTTATTTCTTATATTTCTTTTATTTCTTATATTTCTTTTATTAATTCTTATATTTTTTATATTTTTGTAGTATTGACTAAACCAATTGACAGTACTCTAAATGTTGGCTAAAAATCTATGTTAATCTATGTTCAGTCATTTATTCTTTGTTACTCTCATTGTTCATTGTAACTGCAGTGTCCTCGTGCCCAGCTTGATAGTATTAAGATGCATGCAGCATTTTGTCTTTATTAGGTTTCTCTGTTTAAATACATTCAAATACTTTTTTTTCTTTCATTGTCTTTACCGGTTGTTGCGCAAGTTTTCACTAATATGTCATTAAACAATCTAATTTACAAAACAATAACAATTTATAAATACCGTAAGGATGAAAAAAAAGCAACATTCAAAGAAGCCGTTACCAAAACAGGTGTTTGGCTGACGTTCTTGTTGATTCAGAAAAAAAAAAAAAAAAAAAAAAAAATTTTTTTTTTAACTCAGTATAACAAACATGTAAACAAACCAAATAGGAATTATAAACAACAATGTGAACGAAGAATCTTTTTTTCTCTGATAGCAGATGACAAGTTTAAGTATTTAATGACGAGGTTTGGAACGTGTTTTCGAAATTGTGCCTTCGACTTCGAGATCAAATATTTATATATATATTAATTTTTACTAAAATTTTTAAATCCCAAGAGTGATCCATGAAAAGATTTTTTTTTTTTTAATTAATGAGTCTATATACTTTTTAAAATGTTTTGTTCTTAACCGTAATTATCTTGAAACATGTTAACTTTCCGTAACAAGTTCATGTTCTAAAAATCTTTCTTGCATTCCCCACCTTTCCCCACGAATGCACTTATCGCAGTTCTACGATCACTCCTCATATGGTTATAAACCGATCATTACTTTTCTCCATATGTTTAATTCTCCACATCCTATAAGATCGCATGGACATATCATTCATAATGAATGCTCCGTGAAAAAAAGATTATATGCCAACATTTTTGATACATTTGATGTTTGACGCCCTATTCTTATCAAACAGTATCTCGTTCTATTACTTTCCATAAAAGAAAAACATCAAATTCTAAACTTACCTTGTATGGTTTAAAGGGGGTGTTAATAAGATTTATCTATTATGTTATCCCTATTATAAAAAAAAAAAAAAATCTCATGATAATTCATAATGTAATAATGATTATGAAAACAATCTCAACCAGATACATTATTCTATTTCTATCTATTACCAAATTATCTTCTTGAACTTCGTGAGATTAGTATTTATATATATATATATATATAATATATAATTTTGTTATCAAATAATTTCATAAGACAACAACACACGCGCACAACTACAAAACCTTTTTGATGAAAAAAGGTTTCAGATTTCAATTTTTTTTTTCCTTTTAATATTCGTAAATCATTTTTTTTTTTAATCTCACAATCTTATTTCGTAAATTCGTGATCTCGTAAAGATCACCATGGTGCGTACTGTGTCAAGAAAAAACATTTGAAAAAAAAAACATTTGGTATCATAGTATCATAAGAATGATGGGATTCCCTTTGTCGATTTTTTTTTTTTTTTAAAAAAAAAAAAAAAAATTTAATACGAAAAAAACTCTATATTCATTTTTTGACGTACGTACGTACCTGGTGTTTCAAATGACGGTAATGGATAATGACGACAAGAACGAATAGTCGATTATAATTATCATGAGTTATAAGGTTATATCATTATGATTGAGTAAAAGTAATGATCGTAGTCAGATATAGTATCGACGGTATCGGTGGTATCGGTGGTATCGAAAGAGCGATTACGTCGACACCGTTCAAAGGCACCCCTCTTTCAACGAACCACAAATATTTCTGATTGATCTCGAAAAAAAAACAAAAAAAAAGATTATTTAGTCTCGTTATTGATGCGTCAATACGACTTTCGTTAGCCATACCATGAACGCGTATAAATCGATTTTTCTTTTTTTTTTGTTTGCTATGTGTTCCGATAGTACTTACCGCAAAAAAAATTTAGATATTCGCCGCCCGATTATTATTCAAATCCAAATACTTTTTTTTTTATTATATATTCTCATCGATGTAATTACGCACGTGCATGCGTTTTTCGTTTTTTTTTTTTATAATATTACTTGCATAAGCACTTTTAAAAAGAAAAAAAAGGTCGCTTAAAATTTCTTTTTTCTTTACGCGCGTTTATATTCAACTTGCATAACAAAAAAAAAAACAATCAAACTTTTTTTTTTTAAAAAAACACTTCACTTTTTTTTTTAATTTTTTTTTAATTAATCTTCGGTCTTTTTTTTTTTGCTCACGAACTTTATGTATCAAATTTCCCCAAAAAATAAATCGATTAAAAAAAAATAGTGATCAAGGAAGTTTTTTTTTTTTTATTAATCATTTTATTTTATTTTTTGTCTTTTTTTTTTTAAAAAAAAAAAAAATTTACAATAATAATAATAATAATAGTAATATAATAATCGTTAATCCAAACTTTCGGTATTTATACCGAGAAACCACGCTCATTCATCGCAATCGATTGTTGTTGTTGTTATTTTTATAAAAAAAAATGTGTAGAGAGGTATTATTATTATTATTTTGTTATGTAAATTTAGTGTTGTTCAAAGTTCTAAAAAAAAAAAAAAGATTCGAGAAAAAAAAAAAGAAAAAAATAAAAAGCAAATGATAATAAAAATTCCAAAGTGTTAAAAAAAAAAAACCAACTTTTTTTTTAAATGAGAAGGGAAGAAAATAATAGTGGGAGGGGAGATTTGAATTTAGCTTCTTCATGTTGAAAAGAAAAGGTCTTATGCCTGTATAACGATAATACGTATAATATATGTATATAATAGAAGACGAGGTTTTCTATATAGTGAATGTATATATAAGTGTGAATGAAATATTTTTTATTTACTTAGTAAATTTTTTCGTTTTTTTTTTTTTTGCTTTATTTTACAGATCAATATACCAACTATGTAAATTTAGAAAGATATATTTTATATTATATATATAAGTATAGAAAGGATTTGAAAGTTCATGTTTTTTTTTCCTTTTTTTTTTTGTTTGATAAAAACTTGAAGAGAATGAATTAATGACTTTTTTGGTAATAGACGCGTTAATTGTTGAAATTTGTTAAAAATTGTTAAAAATTGTTAAAAATTGTAAAAAATGTTGGAGTATATATATATACGAATGAAAACGAAAACGAAAACTAATCTTATAATGAAAGTAACAAAGTCATAATATGTAAATAAATGTGTTGTTAATAAGCATATATAATATATTGATAGTTATATTGTAAATAAGGGTAATTTTTTTTTTAAAAAAAAGTATTTTTTTTTGTTTTTTTTTTAAAGTAGACTTGTTACTAAATTTCGTAAAGGAAAAAAAAAAAAAAGTCATTATTTTTTTTTCATAAAGATGAACGCGTCTGAATCAAGAAAAAAAAAATATATATATATATTTTTTTTTACAATGTAATGTTTTTTTTTTCTTAATTAATAAATTCTCCGCAATAGCAAAAACATAATAAATATTTTGCTCTTATCAAACCCTTAAAAAATGATATCTTAATTTTGTTGTAAAAAATTTTTTTTTCAAATCCTTTTTTTTTTTTTAAACAATCATAAAAGAAAATCTTTGTGCTATGTAACAAGGAAAGGGAGAGAAAGATAGTCTAAAAAATATTATATACAGATGAAAAACGAGAATGAAATATATAAAAAAAAAAATGAATATGATGAGAAATAAAATGATAATTTGGTGAGGAGAAATTTCTATATATATAAGAAAGATAGGTACAAGAACAAAAAAAAAAAAAAGAATGTATATATATAAAAATGAATATAGAAAATATAGAACGTAAATGTGACCCACCCACGATCTAACTTTTAATTCGCAATTTACGAACATTATTTAACAAGAGAATACGTATCTCTGTTAAATTCTGTTGTTATCATGTTTTGATTTGGTTTTTGCCCACCCAATATAGTTATATTGGTAAATAAAACCATGAAATAATGTGTTTTTAAAAAAAAAAAAAAAAATCAATAAATGAATTTTTTTTTTAATATATATACACATATAATGATATATATATAAATGAGATATAATGATAAATATGCAAACGATATATAAATAACAATCGACGAGAAATAAAAGATAAAACACGTGATATAGTATTCCAAAGGACCAAAAGATTTAATACCTAAAAGGAGGTAGATTTGGATATTGACGACCATAATCGAAAGAATTTACGTTATTGAATATTCCAAAACAAGAGCTATTTGTACCGATAGAACCATTGGTAGAATTAACAGTAGGAACGGCATTGCTATTATTTGGAAGAGGAGGTAAAGCTCTAGCCCTTGGAGAAAATGTCGGGTCATTAACTATATCACTAATACGATTCGATAATACGGGAGTAGGTGTCATAATAGTAAAATTAGAATGACATTGGGGTTTCCATTCATAATGTTCGATACTCATTCTACCAAAACCTGGAAGAAGAGCATTATTTACATTTGTCTGAGCATTGAAAGCATCAGAATCGCCTAAAGGTCCCAAAGTTGGTGATGGTCCAGGACTATGATCAGGAGTATGAACTGGAGTAGGTATGAAATCATGTTCTTCATCGGAACCATTATCATTACACATTTGAGGAGAAGGTGCCTGACCATCAAAAGGTACAACGGCTGATAAAGGAGGACTCATCAAAGTATTAAATTCATTATTATCATTAGAGATAACTCTTTTATGGAAATGATCATGTAAAGAGAAATCTAAAGTAGAAGGATGTTGCGCAACAAGGTTATTTATACCTTGAACTCGAGGATAATCCATTGTAGGAATATTGATAGAAATAGATGAATGAGGTAAATGAACAGGATGATGAATTTGATGAACAGGATGAAAAATTGGATTTCCATCGATAGAACCAGCAGAGCTAGAACTAGAAGAACTAGCATTTGAACTATTACTATTACTTCGAGACCGGAATGCATTATTTTTGAATTCCACGGTCATTTTTTGTTGCTGTTTGCGTTTATCCTTTTTATTTGTATTTGAATGAATACGTTTATGACGAGTCAATTCATCAGATCTAGAAAATCGTTTTTCACAACCAGGAAAATCACAATGATGAGGTTTTTCACCAGTATGAGTACGAATATGACGAGTTTGATGTTCTAATCTATAAAAACCCCTATTACATATGGTACATTTATAAGGTCTAGGAGCATTTTGCCTGTCTACTGACGCGTTAGAACGTCTTCTTGAAACGGAAGAAGTTGTAGTTGAAGAAGAAAGAGGAGGAGGAGGGGGATTGGACATAGACATATGAGGATCATGACTCGCGTCGTACAAATGGGTGAAATTTGGTTGCATAGATGAATGAATTGGGGTAGGATGCAAAAGATTTGATAAAGATAAAGCTGCTGCCATTTTACTTTTTTTTTTTAATGAAAAAAAAAGATAATTCTTTAAAATCTTTTTTTTAAAAAAATTGGAATAAAAAAAATAATAATATATTTTTTTTAATAATTTCGAAAAGTCAACGAAAAATAGGACTTTTTTTAAAAGATTCGAGAAAGAGTCGTTAAGAGAAAAAAATAAAACAAGCCGGAAGCATAAGAATAAAAAGAAGAGGAAGACTTATACTTTAGGCTGATTTAAAAGAGTTTACGGAGAGATATTTCAATACTCGTAGTGAGGGTGGCAAAAAAATTGATAGCGAAGATAATAAATCATACAGAAAAGAAAGTTGTGAGGATTTATATAAAATTTCAATTAATAAAAAATAACAATAATGGTAATAAAAAAAAAAAAAAAGTAAAAAATGTCAAATAGGGCGTGTAGTGGTGTGACAAAAAAATGGATTGACATGTGAAATGCTACGCCCTTTCGGTAAGTGTGTTTAGTGAAATTGAATGCTACACAGAAAAACAATACATGCATAGAACTCACAGATGAAAGGGAATACAAAAGTTAAAAAAGAGATAAAAATAAAGCCCAAGTGACCAAATATATAACAAATATATGTGGATATTACAATTATAATGACATGTGTGTTATCTTTAAGATCAAAAAAAATTTTTTACAATAAATAAATCAAAGTTATGTTCGTGAACCGTTCCAAACTTATCCATATAAGGACAGCCCCACACTACACAAATATATTTGAGAAAAAACGGGTATAATTAGGAATTTCAAATTCTAGTCTTTTTGAGAGAAAAGAAATGTAGAAATGAATATAATTTTCAAGGATTGCATGGATTGCATTACATGAATAACACAATCATAAATTATGATATCGATTAATACCGATTACATAGCATGATAGTATAGCATAGTATGTAGCATAGTATGCAGCATGGTAAGTAGTTATACATTAGCGATAGGTAACGATAATAATTTAAATTATATATGTATAACTTGTATAAATTAATAATAAATTTATATGTGTATAACTTGTATAAATTAGTAATAAATTTATATGTGTATAACTTGTATAAATTAATAATAAATTATATGCGTATAAATTAATAAAGTTATTTATTAATGGTATTAAAATAACGTCATTAATAATGTAAAATAAACAAATAAAAAAAAGATAGAAAATCCAAAATTACAGAATTAAAGGGATTATAAAAATCGATGACATATATTTGATTACATATATTTGATTACATATATTTGATTACATGTATTTGATTACATGTATATTACGGACAAGAATATGCGGAAATGTAATATGATACGATAGGATACGCAGAATGCATCCGCCATACGACCTTAAACAATCTAAAAAATAAAAATCTAAAAATAAGTGCATAGCATACACGATATATGTAACATATGAATACTATCACAAGTTCATATTGATAGGATATAAAAATTGACAGTTCGTGATGTTAGGCTTTCCATTTTGGTAATTAATCGTGTTAGACCACGTTTTTTCATTTACGATTTCCAAGTGGAGAGATCACAAACAAACGTCGAAACGTCTAAAAACTGAATTAAAAAAATCACTTTTTTACCTCCGCATGTAGTCACAATATGAACACAAGAATTAGTAGCTATTTATGAATACACGCATTTAAGCATTTTATCAATATTATAACTTGTACTTTTTACGATGATATAAAAGGTTAGAGTAAGAACGAATGTTGACAATCGATCATGGTCAAGAACAGTTGACAGGTCACACATGTTTACCATTGATAACAAATAAACAATCGTAAATTTTGGGTTGATTATTTGATTATTGAATTTCAAGTGACGTTAACGTCGATCTAACAATTTGTTATTGCTGATCAAATACTGTGTTATGTCAATTTCACGAGGTTAAGGAACTATCAAATTTTGAACCTGAATACCGGTTATATTTCATGTTATCGTACATCCAGTACGTCTCGCGCGACCGATCACAAAGTTTGACAGCTTTTTTTAACGTTAATTTTATTTTATAATACTATTTAATCCTATTTAATACTATATTAATACTAATTAATACTATAAAATATTGTGTAAAAATTTTGGAAATAATTTATTATTATTTTAATACTATATTATACTGTATATACTATGTGTTAAATTATATAATATACATATATTTATTTATTTATTTACCATTTATAGCTATAAATTTATACATTTATAATCATTTATATTATCGTTATCCATCTTTATTTACATACTAGCGTTATTACTACATAGCATTTCCACTAGCATTAACTCTGACATTCTACTAGCATTACTATTATTACTATTATTATTACTATTATTATTATTATTTATTGGTATTATTACTACATAATTAATAATTAATTAATTTAATGCCGTCAATACTACTGTATTACTCATATTAATTACTTATATTACTCTTGTTTCCTTTTATTTTAGGGTTATTAAAGCATGTAAGTTAATACATGCTGTGTAATTTATTGTTTTTTATGTTAAAAGTATCAATTGAACTCATATGAAAAAATCCGCATTAATCACAACTTCTTGTAATCAAAATGTTCCGATATTTCTCACATTGATCGTCACTTAAAGAGGACAAAATTTTTTTTTCTCTGTCTATGCTAGTATATGCTAATATTATGTTAATGTGTATGCTAATGTATATGCTAATATGTATATGCTAATGTATGCTACGTAATTAAATCTTTTTAAAAAAAAATTGTCATGTGAAGATCTTGAGAGTGTGAACAATGTTAGATATTCAAGACGTCCTTTCTTACAGCTAAAGAAAAATATGCTGAAGATCATTTCTCATGTGTTTTTTATGTATTCATTAGTATTATTATGTAAATATGTAACGTTGTGCAAATTTGACATTAATGATAAAGTACGCCAAGTTGTCATCGACATCCATGGTCGTCATGGATGTCCATGGATGTTCATGGATGTCGTGTGATCACTTCAAACTCACGATATTTAGCACGATGTAAATAGCGCGGTACATATACTATATATAATTGATATATACTGTATATAATTGATATATACTGTATATAATTGTATATATATACTGTATATAATTGTATATACTGTATGTACAGTATAACTGTATGTACAGTATATACCATATAACTGATATGCTGATATGCTGATATCGATATGAAGATAACAAGTACATACGTACATTACGTAGTATGTATGTACAGATATTTTTGAAATTGTTATTTTAAAATTGTTGTTTTAAAATTGTTATAACAGTATATTGTCATAGGATTTTCAAAGTACTTGAATAAAATGCGGTTGAATATACTACATACTTGATTGAGGATTGAACTACTACCTAATTGATTTTTAGATTCCTGATTTTCAAATACTTGATTTTTCCGTTAATTCGTTTTACTCTTCATAATTGCCTTTATCGTAATAGTATATCTCACGTTTTTATAAACAACAATATAAATCTATTCATCTTCTTTTAATCTTGTTTCGGAAAATTGAGTTAGTTGCTTCCAAAGTTAGTTGGTCTTGGATGCTATCGATTTTTTGCTTTTCATTAATTTAATCTCATGAACGCTTGCTTGTAATTGTTTGTAATTGCTTGTAATTGCTTGTAATGCCGTAATGCTTGTGTATGTATTTAAGACAATGGTTTTTTCTTTTTGATAACCCGCTGTAGTAATCCTTTGTATTCTTTTCGTTGTTCATGTTCTCCACACATACAATATCCCATTTTTTCTTTCCCCCCCCACAATTACTTGTGATAATTTTTGTTACAACTTTTCTAATATGGTCATATCTGCTGTCATTCAATCCCTGCTCCTTGAGTAACGATACACTTATTACACGTGCATGTGAAAGATACGTAATAAGTACTTTAGTGTATAATATATCTGTATATATGCCTGTAAATATGCCTGTATATATATCTGTATATATATCCGTATATATGTTTGTATATATGTGCTTGACTATTTTAGTATTCTTGAACAAAGGAACAATGGGTCCCGAAATTTAAAATAATCCGATTCTTTTTATTAATTGTTAACATTTATTATCTTTTAATCTTACTTTCTTCTATTTCTATTGTTCGTTATTACGTATTTCCCGCCTCTTCTTCAATCTTTTAATGAACAAATCTTTCTCTAATGATTGTCTTTTATAACTCTTACCGTTACCATGTTATTATGTATTAATACTACTTAAAAGGTTTTTGTGTGATCTTCCTGATAAAGTACATGCGTGTACCAATCAATTCTTACTAGATATCGATATACTACGTATTCGGTAATCATGTGTGGGGGCGTAAATCTCCTAATTTAACTTTTCTAATTTTTAAAGTTCAAACTCTCTTTTCTATCTCCGAGCCCTTCTTGAATCTTTGTTAAAAAAAACGTTAACTTTAATCTTTCTTTCGATTATGCGACTTATTCCAGGTTCCATACGTCTTACTTGGTACTCCCAAATATTTCTGCAAAATATATCCCCTAATTCTTTATGTAACTCTTTATGTAACTCTTTATGTAACTCTTTATGTAACTTTTTATGTAACTTGATGTTTTTAAAATTTATTTAAATATAATTTATTAATTACAATTTGAATACTTTTCGTTACATTTTGTTACATTTTGTAAACATTTTGTAAACATTTGACCCTATTTGCTCAATAACATCGAATGATTGATTTCAAATTTGTCAAATTAGGGTAATCTGTTTGTTACTCTTGTTACTCGGATTTTTTTTTTTTTTTCTCACCAACTTTAGATCTACCGTTCTTTTTGGTGTATATGGCTGTTTAATTTTTATTTATATGCTGTCAACCCCATTTTGGTCTCTTCTGTCACTTTAAGATGCATAATAATAAATAAATACGCATATCGATATCAATATATATAAATAACTTTCTTCAACAAATCATTTTCTTTTAATTATCTTCACATGTTTAATATTAATATGTCTAGTGTTAATCATTAAACCGTTAA